TTAAACAGGAAAAGTGAAGAACATCTGGCGTGTTTCCAGCTGGTATGCTTGCACGATGCGCTTTTATATTGCGGAAGTTTATACCCTCGCATAAATAACTGCTCCCGGGTTTACTATCTTGCAAAAAGGACGTACCTGCTTTCAAACCTAACCAACACTTGCATTGGTTGCTGCCAGCCAGTTGTCGGGTGGGCGGCTCCGGACACCGGAGGCTAGCTGGCTGGCCGATTTTACTACCGGCTGATGGCCAATGACTTATGCAGAGTCCCAAAATGACAGCTGGAATCTCAGCAGCACTGGCAGCTCAGCAGCACTGGTAGCTCAGCAGCACTGGTAGCTCAGCAGCACTGGCAGCTCAGCAGCACTGGCAGCTCAGCAGCACTGGCAGCTCAGAAGCACTGGCAGTTCAGCAACGCTGGCAGCTCAGCAGCACTGGCAGCTCAGCAGCACTGGTGGATCAGCAGCACTGGCAGCTCAGCAGCCAGGTAGCGCAGTTGCCAGGCCGCTCGGCAGAAGGTGGCCGGTGGGAGGCGTAAGTAATAATTCCGTTCCTGCGCAATTCCGTGCAATCCAGTAATTTCCCTACGGAGAGAACCGAGTATTTTCGCGACATCTGTCCGTGGAATTGAACCAGTGCTTGGGGCTGTCTCAAGCAGTTCCCAGACAGAATTTACCCACGTGGGATGCATAGCACAAAGGTAAACGAGTGTAAGCTCTTGTGTCCACCAAAGGTCGGCTTCTCATGCTTTCAGTCAGTGAAGTTCGCTTGATGTTGTCACGGGGAATCATTTGGCCTCAGCAATCACGGAATTCGTGATATTGGTAATGTCGGCGACGATCTCAAACAAAAGTTTATCGTTTGAACGAAGTTAATAACTTGGACAATTTCGTACGGTTTAACAACGCACCCAAAATATTAGCACGCGGGTTCAAACCGCCACTTGCTTCATGCCATCAAAATAGTTTAATTGCTATTTCGTATCATCTCAATTTTGCATCTTTTGACGCACTCCAAGGCAAATCCGTAAGCTTCTTTGGGTATCAGTATCGAATGCGAGATCCATAAAAGGCGGTAAATTAGATTTAGTATCGTCAACGTTAATCATGAAAACATCTGTGTCGAACAAAGCGGTGAAATGCCAAAAGCAGTGTTTGCTCTAGCACGCCTCACTGTAATACTGACATTTGTCTCTTACTGTACCCCTACTGGGTGGTGGATATCAATGTGTACGAAGTCGGTATCGAAAAGTGCATGTTTGTTACAGCGTTTAAACGTGAATCAATGACAGCCCCCGCTCTTCTCTGCATTGATGGAACAGGCAGCGTCCTCGTGACTTGCTGTATCCATAACTGCGACATTCCACCCCTGCTGGTACGTCACAACCATTTCTGCATCAATTACCTAACCCGTTGGAGCATGCGCACATTGAGTTCTGACCCATTGTGGCCGATACCGTCTGCAATAACCAGTGACGTGTGCCGACTTTGACCCATCGTGGCCAATGTTGTCGGCCATAACCAGTGACGTGTGCCGAAGCTGAGCCATCGTGGCCAATACTGTCGGCCATAACCAGTCACATATGCCGACTTCGAGCCAGTGTGGCAGATACCGTCGGCAATAACCATTCACGTGTGCCGACTGTGAGCCATCGTGGTCGATACCGTGGGCAATAACCATTCACGTGTGCCGACTGTGAGCCATCGTGGCCAATACCGTCGGCAATAGCCAGTCACGTGTGCCGACTGTGAGCCATCGTGGCCGATACCGTCGGCAATAGCCAGACACGTGTGCCGACTTCGAGCCATCGTGGCCAATACCGTCGGCAATAACGTCTTTGGGTTTTTGCCGACGGTATCGGCAATAAAGGTTATCGTCTGAACAAAGTTAATAACTTGGACAATTTCGTACGGTTTAACAACGCATCCAAAACATCAGCACACGGGGTCAAACCGCCACTTGCTTCATGCCATCAAAATAGTTTATGGTACAGACAGCATTGACATATTAATGACCAATACAGCTTCTGTCGGCAACTGTATTTTTGCCGACTACAGTGATGTAGTCAGCAATGCTGCAGTATTGCCGACAGTGGCTATCGGCCATAACCAGTGACGTGTTCCGACTCTGAGCCATCGTGGCCAATACTGTCGGCAATAACCAGTCATTTGGGCCGACTCGAGGCCTTCCTCTGGACATCCGTCCTCTCGCTCATATACCTCCCTGAATGTACCCCCGGCAATGTATTATCACCCTGTGCAATGTTTGTGCATATTACATCAATTACAACGTCGGCAATGGGCTATAGCTTTCATGCGGGACAACATGCATCGATTTCAACACCGCAACAAACGTTGATTTGCCGTGGCATCAACATTGTTGCTTATCCAACTTAGTTCACCTATATGAATGAACCCTTAAACATACCTGTGGAATTGCTATTTAGTATTTGCATTTGTATTTTGTTATCTGGTTACGTCGTAGCACAAAACAAGAAAATGGCCAGACGTCGGCTTTATTAGCAGGAGGCATGTTATCTTCTGCTTATAATTGGACATCTCTGAGGACACAGCAGTCAGCGCTTACATACCGCCCACTGACCAAGCCCCGAGCCGTCATCGCGCAACGTATGCCTCTCAAATTGTGTCAGGAGATGTCAGATCGTGAGTCGTCAAATTCAGCACCAGATAGGACGGTTTGGTACTAATATAAGACAACATATGGGATGGGGGAGGGGGAGGCAGTCAGTCTCAAGGTGAGAATGAGTTGCGTGACTTCAGTACCGTTTTGGCCTTGCCTATCAGCGGCATCCGCCCTCGTTGGAGTTTGTTCAGAGCCAGTCCGCGCGCTGTTGACTTTCGTGCGACGCTTGTGCGCAAGATATTTCCGTTCGCACTCATTGATGAGACATGTGTACATCTCCAGTATTGCGGTCCGCTGCTTGCCGCACGCGTCCACACATCCATCTGTTGCCTGCCACGAATGTGGCCACACACACGCAGCCAAGTGTGGCTTCCCGCACACGTCCCCACACAACCACATGTTTATTGTCATGTGTCCCGTGAGGTGTTTTAATGTTCCCCTCCGCGCTGTCCCGGTGCAGCCCTACATTACGTTTCGCGCGTGTTCCCAATGCAGCGGCCCGGTGCGTCCACCGCGAGCCCGGCACCTCAGCCTCTCACAGCCAGCGGGCGCCCGGCACCTCAGCCTCTCACGGCCGCCGCGAGCCCGGCACCTCAGCCTCTCACGGCCAGTGGACGCCCGACACCTCAGCCTCTCAGTCCACCGCGAGCCCGGCACCTCAGCCTCTCACGTCTACCGCGAGCCCGGCACCTCAGCTTCTCACGGCCAGTGGGCGCCCGGCACCTCAGCCTCTCACGGCCACCGCGAGCCCGGCACCTCAGCCTCTCACGTCCACCGCGAGCCCGGCACCTCGGCCTCTCACGGCCAGCGGGCGCCCGGGCGCCGCCGGCGGCCGCGGGCCCGCTCCGTTATTACGTCCGGTATTGGGGCGAGCGGCGGCCGTTCGTGGGGAGCATCTGGCGCGACCCACCGCCCTATCTCCCGTCCCAGTGAGTTGGTCCGATCGCGCGAGAAACGCGAACCGATGGCGCTATTCATTGCGGTACGGCGCGGCGCGGCTGGGGCGTGCCGTTGCCGGCCAGCGGGCGACAATGGCGGCGAGCGACGGCATCTTCACAGCCAGTCACGAGCCACGGGCATTCGGCCGTGCTGGGTCGCAGTGACGCGGGTGCCGTTCGCGGACATGAGCCAGCCTCAGCTGTGGACGGTTGGGCGAAACGGAGTCGCCGCGGCCACATCGGCGGCGCTTTTCCGTAGTAACTGTGACCTAAACGGGCTGCGTATTTATAGAGAATACACGCGGCAGGACTCGTCATCAGGTCATTGCCCGCAACTCAGTGCATGGAGGCCCAGACCCAGCTTAATCCGAACCTATGCTAGATATATCTGAGACTGTGTGCCAGCTTGTCTGGCGTTCGTCTAAGCTTTCCTGGAATAGGATAATGACATGCGACCCCGGTGTAAGCGATGTAAAAGCTGGTGCCGTAAGCGTTTCTGATGCTCAGTCCCCATGCTCAAAAAACAATCAAATCCCTACATTTTGACGCAACATTTTGAGAGAAGCATCACGGCTAAAGCCGTCCCGTTCGGTTTCCATTCAGTCTTCGTGCCTTTCCGTTTCACATGTGAAAGTCTGATAACGACGTGAAACGTACCATATGTATTCATGTTATCACAGATGTTCATTAGCTCGTGCGAAGACTCTGGATCCAAAACAGTATCATCAGCATCATCATTAGCATTATTGTCGGCATCCTCACCGTTGTCGACATTGTTTTCGGCGCGCTGCGCGACAATAGACGCCACTCCAGGACGCGCAAAACTCGCACACAGAGCAGAGAGACAGGCAGGAGAGAGAACAGCACAGCACAGCACAGCACAGCACAGCACGGCACAACAGCGCTACTCTGACCGCATCTGGCCGGGGGACGAGAAATGTCATACTAGAGCCCTTGAACAGGGAACACAGCACCGCCCCAACGAGCCACGCAGTCCAGCAAGAGAGCACAGCAGAATCTCCAGTTAGCAAGGGAATACAGCGCATCAGACCCTCCGGAGTAGCCCGTCAGCGCAACAGGCCCTCCAGAGTAGCACGGCAGCGCAGCAGACCCTCCAAATCAACACAGGAGCGCAGAACACCCTTCAGATCGGAGTGAGAACACGGCAGATTTCCAGTTTAGCAGGGACACGTAGCCACTGGCTCGCTCCTCATGACCAGCCGAAGGCAGCTCCAACAGGACTCCGTGCGCCAGCTGACAGCCGCAGAGTCCAGGGAGGCAGCGCGGCGACGCGACGGTACTCGGAACAGTTGCACAGCTGATTGGAACTCATGGCGTGGCAGGCGACGTGTTCGTGCTGCGTGGTCCCGTGTAACGCAGTCATCTTTTGAATGACAAATGCTGAGGTACATGGTGCAGTTTCGTTGTTTAATTTTTCTTCTGCCCGCAATTCGAAGATGGCATGCAAAATCTTACTCGACCTGTGAACAGTCAAATTTACTCATGTATCGTGAGATTGCATTCGACCGCTGCAAATGCCTGCGAAGGGTGCTTTGTCGTAACTTGAGCAAAGTGCGTGCAAATGAAATGAAAATTATACGTACATTTGGGCAAGTAGCATGAAGCTGAAATACGAGGCAGCGGGAGACGCAGCCTCGAGCCGGGCTGCGCGCCGCCGACGGAGCGAACAGCACTGCGCCTCGATAGGCAGTAGACGGCGCGCGAGGTACAGTGGCATCACACCTGCTGCTTAAGCCATCACCACACTGAGAACAGCTGTGAGGCCTGATGATAGGCAGTAGACGGCGCGCGAAGTACAGTGGCATGACACCTGCTTAAGACATCTTCACACTGAGAACAGCTGTGAGGTCTGATGATGGCGGTCTGGCTGAGGGTCCACAGCCTGTCTCAACAGCGGGCCCCAAACCTGACCGAGACCTACACTCAACAACACAGCACGTGCAACAAGAAGGGACATCAGAATTGCGCGAACACGGCACATCCATCGGTATGCTGGACAGAGAACGTCCGACAGCATGGGGGTCGCGGATGGGAGGGCGGGAAAGGCACAGTCTTAGCCCCGTCTCCGGCCGACACCACGCGACCTCGTGTCAATAGTACGGGTGTCACGCTGCCTCTCCCCTCCCCTCCCCACCACCCTGTCCGGCCAACAATTGTGACCTGATTACAGGCAGTCGCGCCAGCCGGCCACGTCATATAAAAATAGCATGTGGCGAGAACTCTCCGGCCTTACACTCAGTACACGCAGAGAACCGAGGGGCGCAAGGCCATGTCGGCAAAATCTCCGAGAGTCCAGTGCCATTTCGGCATAGGGGATTCAACGTCACGGCTCTGGTTCACGTGAGAAGAATGCGACCGCCTCACTACCTCCCGGGACCATTGTTCAGCTGTTCAGCACAGCTCGGTTTCATTCTCATGATCGAAGAACTTGCCAATCATCGAGCACCTGGAAACAAATGATGCAGTGAGTTGGGGCACTGTGGTGTATGGCAGTTGTTTAGGTGCGCGCCTGCGCACCAGGCAATTGGCACAGTTGCGCCAGAGCTGTCCCTGTTGTGGGTTTTGGGGTTTGGTGCTGTGGCGTGCGTGGCGGTGGACGCGACCGGGTCGGTTGCGTCAAACGTTATGCTATTTTTATTGTTGTGATTACCGAGGCCTTGGGGGAAATACTGACAGTAACGCCTCTCGTAGTGTTTGGTCAGACAGCGAGAGCGGACCGGATATTACAGGCACGCATGGCGCTTCGCCTAGTGAAGCCAGCGGGCAGAGGACGACGGTATATGCAACATCGATCACTCATCGACGCATGTCACTGCCGCGTCTGTTGACGAGGCAATCCTGCTATTCTCCAATCAATTCCACTCAATTTTTGATTTAATTACGAACCATCCAAACTGCAACACTCATGTCGCTTTGAGAGCAATAACATATGTATCATTCAGCAATTAATGAGGTAAAGCTGACATACCACGCTAACACCACGAACGGACGATCCTTCCCACTCCCCCTCTCTATTGTTATAAACCATGATTACATAGATCAACTCTTTATTCGACGGAGGCACCTACGAATGCGACCGACGCCGAACAGGGCCGCCGTACCGGGCGCGGGCGCTGCCGCTAGGAGACGCCGTCGGGCGGCGTGCTTCCGGCCGCTGCCGCGAGGCGGCGCGCGCGCACAATCTTCAGGTGGCGCTGTATGTACTCCTCGTGCGGTGCTAGCCGGGCGGCGCGCAGCAGGCAGGCCTCAGCGCTGGCTAGCTCGGCCCGCTCCACGTACACCACGCACAGGTTGTGCAGACCCTGCACGTTGTCCGGCTCCAGCTGCAGAATCCGCTGGTAACACTGTGAGGTGGGGCGAGATGTTAAGTGTGAGGTGTGATGTGTGAGATTGGCGGAAATGGCCGTCAGCTAGAAGTGACCGAGAAGACTGTACTGTCCAATGTTCATTACTAGTCGATGCGTTTGGGAGTCGTGGTGACACCACAAAATGGGGTGTCAACAAAAATACATGAACATTTTTGAAGCGATCCATTCCGTGCATCGCCATAGTCCTAATTCCAACCTGTTTTCTTCGGGAGGGGGAGGCAGGCCACCCCAAAAGCAGTCAAATCCACGCTCCCGCTTCCGAGGTGGAACTTAAGAGAGCCGAGCACCAACAGGGATCTTAGGGGCCACTTCGACAAAATGCGCCGCAGAGTAACGGACAAATGAAATAGTACTCTTACATAAACAAGATAAGCTGCCGGCATTACAAGGCCAATATGTCACTGCCATCAGAGGTATTGCACACCCCGGCCAGATGAGCCCGCACATCTTGCACGGCCAGGTGCCTCACAACTTGTGCTCCCAGGTTGAGCATTCGGCCCCGTCTGACGGCAGCGCTGACGATTCTTCCATTTTGTGAGTCACGCAGCGGCCAACACCATTCCCTCCCACTGGGGTGCCTGTTACCGGGAGAAAGGGGGGGAGGGGAGGGGGCTGTGACGGAGAGACCTTTTGCGACCGCGGACGTCAATATCTGCCGGCTACTTGGATGAGGTGTAGCCGGCCTACCCGCACCGCCTAGTCCAAGCCGACTGAAGCTACGGAGGCCCACCTACCCGCTCCGCCTCGTCCAGGTCGTTCATGTTGTTGACGTAGATGTGTCCAAGCAGGATGAGCGCCTTGACATGGTCCGGGTGGTGGCGCACCAGCCGGTGAAGGAACGGTGCCGCCTGCAGCGGCCGGTCCGCGTCGCTCAGTAGCAGCGCCAGGTTGAACAGCGCGCTCCGGAAGTCCGGCTTCAGCTCGATCGCCTGCGGCAGCGGCGGGTCACGGAGGGTATCACCACTACGGCACCAGGGCAGCCAGGCAGAAGCTGGTGTGCAGTCACCACCACGGCAAAAGGGCAGGCTAACAGGTGCTGGTCTGCAGTCATCACCATCACGGCACCGAGGCAGGCTAGTAGGTGTTGGTCTACAGTCATCACCATCACGGCACCGAGGCAGGCTAGTAGGTGCTGGTCTGCAGTCATCACCACCGCGAAATCGGGGCAGGCTGGCAGGAGCTGGTCTGCAGTCATGCAGGGTACAGCAGGGTACAGCTCCTCTGCTATCAAGCGGGATACAGCAGGGTGCAACTGGTCTGCTGTCACGCAGGGCACAGCAGGCTATGCTGTACTCTGCCCAGCTGCCATCACCGGCTGCCGTTCAGTGATATGCCGTCACTGATTTCCACCAACCGGCACATTCGTCACCAGGGAATAGTCAGACCTTAGCTGCAATGTTTCTGACAGTTAACGACGTGCCAATATCGAGACTTACGAAAAAAGTACTAGACGCAGCTTTCTGCACCATCGCCCCCGTCAACATGTGGGAAGTTACAAGCATTTACGAAAATCCGTGGCAGTAGCGCTCTGCCTCACAGCACGTAGGCTATCCCAGCCTCTAGCCTCCCCCACCCTCCCGCTCGCTCCCGCACCCCCGGCCGCCATAGCCGCTCGGGGCCCTAACAGCATCCTCCGCACCTTTCTAAAATGCGTCTCTGCGGTCAACAGGTCCTGGTCGTCCATGGCCAGCATGCCCAGGTTGAAGTGGACCCGCTCGGCGTCCACCACGGTGGGCTGCAGCTGGAGCAGCCGCCGCAGCCGCTGGTAGGCCCGCGGCCGCAGCTGGCCGCTGCCCAGCTCCTGGATGAGCACGGCCGAGTTGAGCAGCGCCTGCTGGTGGTCCGGGTCGTACTCGAGCGCCTTGTCTAGGTAGGCGAGCGCCTGCGCCTGCCGCCCCTGCTCCAGGTACACGATACCCAGCTGCGGAAACAGGCGGAGGGTCAGGAGTCCTGCCCAGCTGCGGTGAAAGGCCGGAAGTCAGGAGCCCTGCCCAGCTGCGGGGACAGGCGGAGCGCAAGGAGCCCTTCCCAGCTTCGAGCGCGGGGGTCAATTGCACAGTGGGTGTAAATATAACCATATTATATGTATAATGTAAATAGACTAATCAGTGGGTCAGCTACACACGATGCCAAAAGAACATCTCTGAGATGCCTAAAAAGTCGGCTTTGGAATCTTGGTGAGCATTACCGACGCTGGTAGTGCCTTGTTCCACCTGGGTCTTGGGACTAAAAGCTCAACAAACATTTGGCTACGCTCCGTCGAAACGGGATCATCATGAAAGCTGATGAAGAGCGATACAACATATTGGAAATAATCATCTACTTATTTTTTAAAGCTTTTCTAAGCCTGCTGCTCTTTATTTTTTTTGCGGTAGATAGAAACATTGGAGATACTTGGCAGCATCATTATAGCTTTGCGCTCAGCATAGCTGCATGGCATAGCTAAAATGTTTATATCGTCACAGTACAAAGTAATTCAGATGAAAATTTTGTACATTTTGGGACATTCTCTGAGACCAAAACGAAATATCCAAATAAACGTAGTCACAGAACACACCGCCGTTGCGGCGAAGCCGATGTATAGCGCGCCATCCTTGCCACATCTGATCGCTACACAGCAAACACTCACGTTGTAGTAGATGTCGGGGTTGTTGCTGTCGTAGAAGAGCGCCGTCTCGTAGGTGCGCTGCGCCTCCTTGGTGCGGTTCAGCTTGATGAGCACGTCGCCCCTGTTGATGTAGGCCTGCGTGTAGTCGGCGCGCATGCTGATGGCCTGCCGGTAGAGGGCGTCCGCCTCCTCCAGCCGCGCCGGGTCGCGCGCCACCAGACCGGCCAGGTTGAGCAGCACACTCAGGTGGCTGGGCGCCACGCGAGCCTCGTACACCTCCCCCGGCTTCACCTGGGGCAGCAGCGACTTCGCCTGCGGGCGGGGGAGGAGAAGGGGTACAGGGAGGCAAAGACGTGAGCCTGCGTTGGCCAAACTTGGCCTGTGTCGTGAGAGATCGCGCTAGGACGATTTCAACAGCCGAAGACTGCGCAGCTCGTCTGTATTGCTGTTGTTGAGCAGTCAACTGTTGTTGATCAGCGCGCCGATGAGGCCGGCGTAAGAGGCATGACCGGCCTGCCGACACCCGTACCTCTCCGGGTGCCGACAGCAACGGACGGTTCACGGGCTGCCACTCGCAGCCCAGATACTGCACCGGCAAATACTCTTCAGGTCCGTTTAACGCGTCTGGTTGGCGGGTTAACGATAGTTAATGGCTGAAACGCCCATGCATGTTTCAGCAGAAGTGGTCTAAAATGAAACGCTGGGGTTATTTTAGTGAGCGGCGGTTCGGGGAGGCCGACGCCGAGGTGGCCGCGCCCTCTCACCTTCAGATAGGCCTGCTCAGCCTCGGCGTACTTCTGCAGGCTGCTGTAGGTGCGGCCCACGTTCATGTAGGCGCCGATGTCGTCCGCCTGTACCCTGCGTCACAGGCGTGACCTGGTCAGGTCACAGCACTCGCAGGTCCTGTATCGGCGAACAGGACAGCGCACAGCTCCAGCAGCTGGTTGATCGGAATCGCCGGAGGCACCGTTCGGCGTGCCAGCTCGTCACCGCAGGCGCCTTCCTTCACACGCCATATAGCCTTCTTCTCAGCATATCACCAGTGCGGTCTGCCTGAGTCATGCGTGCAAGCAAACCCACTGCTCTATCAACAAGACTCAAGGCTTGTCGTCGTCATCTCGTCTGATTCGTTGCTCCACCCCCTCCCTCATCCCCACCCGTCCTCCTGCCCCGGACAGATCGGCAAACGGGACACGGCCAGATCGCACTAGCTCTTCCGACACGCCCAACGGTCGCCTTGCAGCCCTTGCCCCGCCATAAGTCCAGCCACGCGGCGCCGCCTGTGATCCTACGCTAAAATATTCACGCCGTTTTTAGAAAACTTTGCCGCCAAATGGCACACTTGTCCAAGTTTGGTTGGTGGAAGGGACGCGGCGACAGGCGGGAGGGACGCGGCGACAGGCGGCCGGCGAACTTGTCGCGCTGGGCGGAAACTGCCGGCAGCGCTGAGTCCGACACGCCGTCGGCGGCGGGCTGAGCATCGCCGACGACGGCGTCCCGCACCCGCCCCGCCGACCCCGCGCCGGCATCGGCTAACTTCGCCGCGGTGGCGACAAAGTTACGCCCACTGACATCAACCCATCGTCCCATTAATTTTCAACTTTACAGAGGCCTGCAGTGAGCACAAATACCATCTCTCCTCAGTCAGACATACAGAGTACGCGCTGATAACACTTTTCAACAGTTCCCTGGCTTCTTTGTGAATCTCGACCATGAGATTGCCACCTGCCCTCGAGCCACGGCGCAGTATTTTTTAATGCGTCGTAAATATCGCTCCCACCCAGGCACTACCACAGATTCTCAACAAATCCGCCATCCACCCTCAGTCCAGCACACGGTCCGAATTCACCCTGCGTTACCAGTGTTATCCTTCCCTAGGGGGCCAGGTCGACAGCGAACCGGTCATGGGGTCACGACCCCGCCAACGCTCACAGGCTGGGCGTGAATTCGCGGACAGTCAGTTCTCCGGACTGCCGACCCACCTTGCTGTCGTGTAATGGACAGATATCAGAACGGCTTAGGACCTCACACGCGGCAGGGAATTTCAAAAGAGCTCGCGTTTGGGCGAAACTGATGACCTCTGATCATAGGGGTTTGTTAGTTCAAAGTTCCTTGGAAGGAAAAGGCGAACTACGGTTGCGTCGCTGAACTTAAAAGCTCTCTAAAAAGCTTCCACCATTTGATCAACCGGCGTGCTTCGTGGCGCCATGCTCGCATTCAGAACCAAATCAGAACTAATACTAATTAAGGTCTCAGAGCATTATCACGTTAATTTCTCATCTATTTCCCTTTCGTATTACTGCCCTAGTTTACTCCTCACACATCATTATCACACAGACACCGATGCTATTAGATACGGAACACCGCAGTCCGTGAAGTCTCCAGAGCCGCTGGCTGCACTCCAGTTCAGAACAGCGATCGGATGACCCCGTCCCACCGAATGTGTTCCGTCCTGCCTACAAAAGAGTGTGACATAAAGGGCCAATACGGAAGACAAGTCGCCACTCTCATCTCGCCGTGTGGACAATCGGAGCGGCTTCGACAATCTATTGCTCTAATAAGTAGCTTTCGAACGGACGGAATTCCCGAAGTGGCCGTCTTCAGTCGGTCCGTAGCGTTTGGATAGTTCCGGAGAGCGTCACACTTCTCGTCAGACGCAGTCCATCTGACAAAGTTTGTCAAATCGGTCGTGATGGCGTCCGAAACAGCGCAGGTGGATTGCACGGAAATGGTCGCCAGTCTGCGATCGATTGTTTCATGACGTTTGAATACTTCGACGCCACGGTGTATTTTTGTTCGTATGTGGAACAAAATACATTGCGTATATATATATATATATATATATATATATATATATATATATATATGCCGCCGCGATGTGTATAATACATCGTCGCCTTCGCATTTTGGAGCACCTGTGCTTTGAGTGTATCTGAGCACAAACCCATTGATGTACATTTGGGGGGATGGAGTTCATGGTGGAGATGAGTGCGCTGCGCCGCAGTCCGGCTGCCGCTACATGTTTGTGCGCCGCCGGCTGCCGCTGTCACGCCTCCCCGCAAGAGCGAATTTATACTGGGGAGCTCACTGGTCAGCATACGAGCCAGATGACTGCTAGCGCACGGCTCACGTTGTGACTCCAGTACATCCATCAACACGCACTCATGTGAGCCACAGAGCTAGGATGAAGCGGGTGACCGGGGTATTGGCGGATGGTAGGATTCGGTCAGGTTCCATGAACGGCTGTCTCCCCGTACGTGGCTGTGCGTCCTTAACCCCGGTACTGCACCTCCACCTTTTGGCGGACGATTATATTCCAACGGGGCAAAAAACGGGACCAGATGCATTGATAATACGCATAACTGGCAGGGATCCCGTGATACTGAGGAATTACATTGACAAGGGCCCGCTGAATAGCAGCCCTGGGAACCGCCTTCGGCCGTTATTGATCCACATAGACTTCATGCATTCGGCGCCCCACCACACTCATTCCAAGCATACGCATCCGCTGGCGCCCACGTCGCCCCACTCATTCTTGGCTCGCACACGGGTGGGACCCCCCCCCCCCGTCCTATCCAACGCGTTGGCATTGTAATTGGCACGTCTGCGCGAATCCTCGTTAAGCTGAACTAATTTTAGTTCATACATTTAAACACCTAATGAAGCCACGTGCATTCCCTATTCAAAACATGTCAGGTTAATTCATCACCTTGGCACCGACGCAGCTACCGGTCCGGCATCCGGTGTCCGGAGCTGAACGGCGCCTCGTTCCGTCGCCTGACCTCCAGGGTGACGGCTGTCTATTCGGACGGCGCTCCCTGCGTCTCGTCCGCAGCGGGCGGCGCACAACTCCTTCGGCCGCGGCCACCGCTCGCAGCTTTCCGCTGCTGCGCACGCACCTTAGGCAGCGCCCCGTCCAGCACGGAGACGTCGCCCGCGGCGCTTCTGCGCCCCCGCCTGCCGCCTACCGGAGTAAACTTTGCAAGGCACCACCCTATGGCACGTCTCTCAGAGGCCTGGAGGCAGACAGTGCGCCGGATGGGATCATGGAGCCCCTCGGCAGACAGCGAGTGCCCGGCGTGACCTGCGTTCACGCCTTACGGTCTCCACGACCGGCGCGCTCTGGAGACTGCTTGACTTTCTGGAGACTGCTTGACCCAGTTCCTTGTCGCCCTTCCCATGAGCGTCGATGGCGGGACCTCTATCCGTCCCGAACATCCCGCCATCAAGAGCTTATAAGGCCTGGCATACACCATGTCAGAAGAGAAACAGGCTGTGTCCTGTTTTCTCTCAAAGCATGGTACACCAACGGATAGGCACAGCTACCGCCGTGCATAATCTGGGGTCTCGGGCGGTCTCCACTTGTCCTCGGTCATACCATGACCTACGCCTCTTCATGCCGTCCCGCCTGAGGTCAGCAGAGAGACAGCAAAACCAGTCGACCATCTCTCAGTCCAGAAAAGCGAAACCGTGCCTTTGAGTCGCGTTACCTACAAACATATATTTACGTAAAAGCAGGACTTCGGTCGTCTGACTCATTGACCGTGCCGCAGTCAAACCGTGCTGCTCAGGCGCGTTCCGAGCCAAGCATCCTTTAATTACGGCCACTACACGATTCCATTGTCAGGAACGGACGCCATGTTGCTTATCAGACGAACGTCTGACGGTCAGGCGGAAGTTGACCCTGGCAAAGCAAAATGCTCCGTGTACACGAGGTGATCAGCTACTAAAAAAACATAACGAAAAAACAGAAAAACAAAAATACGCGCACGAATGCCATCCAAAATCAGTTAATAATCCGGGTCCGACAAGCGATAACGCAGAGGGAGAAGACAGCGTGCGCATGGTGAAGTCCGTCCGCTTGTGCTGCACATGGTTCGGCAAGGGTACCATCGCCTCGAACAATCGGAAATAAATAAAGAGAACGAGAGAATTCAAACCGTCAAGCCAGCCAGGGCTAACGTCACAGCAAAAGGAAGCTTTCATGGATCTGGTGGCGCACGCCGCGCCTGGCCGCGGCGCGGGACAGACGAGGTCCATGACGAGCCGCTGCGCCTACACGTGGCCGCCTCCAACGGCAAAATCAAGATAGCCTCGGTGCTGGCCAACGAGTGAGCCGCCGCGCCGAAGTACGCGTCACCACGGGCCACGGACACTGTGCCCACCCACGCCGGGCACGAGTGCCCTTCGCCGCCTGGTCGAATCACCTCCAGCCTCGCTTCCACGCTTAACTGTTAAAGCGCAGACCGTCACTTGTAGTTACAAAATCACTCACACGCATGGACCACAACAGTTCATCGCTTTGCGCGGTCCCGTGCCGAAGTGCGTGGCCCCCTCTCCCTTCCTTAATTATGCCGTACGCCAGGGACGCATTGCCCGGCCGGAGGGGTCGTACGGCCAGTGTTCCCCCTTCCCTAAGTGCACAAGAGGGAACAGGTGGCCGTGGCCCGCGCCCAGCCGCTGGGGAGGGGTCAAGGGACGCGGGAGCGCTGGTCGTCCATGGCCCCGTGAGGATGGAGATAACAGCCCGTGGACTCGCATGCGTTGTCGGGCGTTCCGCTGTCTACGAGGCCAGATATCGCCGCCAGGTGATGAGAGTTGAGGTCTCGGAGAGCCGTCCTCGAGGCGCGGCGTTATGTGCCGGGTGTCCTCCCTAGCACCCCTTCTCGGAGACACCTCTCCCTCCCCCCCTCCGCTGGTTCCTCCTCAGGACTCTCCCCGTTGATTCCCTGAAGTAGACTCCTATTTGCACAATCTGTCATTTACCGTGACTCTTCCAACAGGGTCGGCCCGCCTTCGTTTTTTGCGCATGGACCAATAGTTTTGCCGCCACGACCCCTTCCTCCAATGTGTTGCCGGGCCGGCCTGCGTTGCTTCAAGAGCTCGGCAACTGTGTAAGGCCCACCCACTCTCGCCTCGGGCAGGTCCTCCGTGCCCTCTCCGGCCCAGTTCCCACGTGGCGTGGCGCTTCTGATGCCAACTGGGGTGACGGCGGCGTCGGCGCGGCCGGGTTCCCGAGAGGAACAGCGAACACCTCCGACACATGGAGCGCTGTCTCGCCGGTGATCGGGCATCCCGCATCCATTAACCTCGTTCGGCCGGCAGAGGGCAGGCGTCCCCCTTTGGCGTGATGGTCCACTTCGGAGGAAGGGGCCACCTTTATGGCCGTTCCGGGGGAAAACGGCGGCTTACGCCACCTGGCCGGGCGATACACACTGTCCCCCGCCCCCCCCCCCCCCCCCCCCTCCCCAGATCCGGTCAACAATGCGGGCCGGCCGGCCGGCGCGTCGGGCCGGTCCGGGTCCGCATTCAGCCCTCAGGCCCGCCCGGCCTAATGGTCATGTTTGGTTTGGAGGGTGGAGTTCCTGACCACGGCCGGCTTCATGACTGTCCCCGTCCCTCCGAGAAGCCTTCCGATCCTGTACGAGTGATGCGGAGAATGAAACGTTGAAAACTGTATGCCTGCATTAATCGCAAAGGGGTTATTGAAACACCGTTTCGGTGAAGCTGCTGAGTCCAAGCGCTGCTGCAAGGCGGGATGGTTATCAGGCACCTTACTTTATATAGCATACCTGGCGTGGTTGCCACGGACCCGCAACGTCAAAATACAATGTTTTGACGTTATGGGTTCGTGTTAAACACTGACGCATGTGATTTATGCCGATGTCATGCCAAAATCATGATTTACAGCTCCCACTATTGTATTCAGCGGCTTACAGGAGCTTTTGTTAAGCGATAATCGTATTCCTGCACCAAATAAGCATTCATACTAATACAGATTCCAAAGCACGTTCATCCATGATGCAAGCTACATTTCTACTGAAACTCGCCGCCGTGAAGTAAATGTTCTTCAAACCCTAGTCTGATCTCTATGAATTAAGCCTCTATTACAGTCTATACGCAATGCTAAATATTTACGCCCGTGACTGTTATTGTTATTAACACGCTTCCGGGTGGGTGGGGGTCAGTTTGATCCCCCCCCCCCGAAGGTTTGCAGAATGATTTCCGAACGGCGTGGCGCAGCCGCGCCAAACTTTGCATAGGCATGGGCAATTGAAGCGGATCTTTTGCAATACAAATTGAGACGTGCCCTGAAGGGTCACTGACCTATACCGTGTCAAAGTCAGGTCGTGGCTCTCAGCGAAGACAATTTCTAAGGAACCCTATCATCTGCTGCTACAACGGAGTGTTAGGCGAAGTCATACATATTTAAGGTAGCTTCTTAGCTAATAAAACAATTGAAACTATAATAACAACAGCTTCAGTTGACCTAGGACCAAGTATAAAGGTCAGACAAAGGTAAAAGCCAACCTACTTTGCTACTCGAAAGCTCACCTTATGGGGTAGGTTCCGGTGCTCATTCCGCATTGATTAATAACCGGGCCGCAATGGACATGTTCGAAGGACTTGTTTAAGGTCAGATTAGGTGGCTGACCTAAAATGACCTATGTCAACATTTTAGTTTTAGGAACATATCACCTAGCGTAATCCCTGATCTTTATTCAAATGGAAAAATAGAAGCAATCTTGTGGGTTCATGGTCATCTCGACCTTCTTAAAGTCTGAAAAGGACCCTGGCCTTAAGTTCATTGACTTTTTTCCTTAGAACAAGCATCTAGGTTCAAGGCGGTTGCATAAGGAAATCTGGGGGCACTTTGAACACCAATCTGGGGTTTGACCTTGTTTGACCTTATTTTGTCCCGAGGTCATGATCTACACATCTAAAATTTAAAAAAGCACAGTCACAAGCAGGCTGACATGCCCTGTGGGTTAAGTGTCTCTTGCTGTCACAGTTTTTTTAGATCTCACGGGGTATCAAATTGCCCCCTACCCAGCGAGGGGTATTCAACCGGTCACCCGGGCACATTATAAGTGTCCAAATGACACCTTGGTTCGTAATACACCAATCACCATTCTGACATTCTCAAACAAGTCTATATCACATTTGTTTTGATCGATCTCACTTTCAATAGATTCCGTGGAGAAAGTCCGCGCTACGAATAGGCTTATCCGACATTTTCTTAAAGGCTCACCATGTGTGTTTTAGTATTCTGAAACATTTTGAAATGCTTCCAAACAAATCCTTCGCAATATCAACGTTCCACATTGCTCGGTAAGACATGGATTCACGGGCAAAAACTAAATCCAGGTTTTGGAAAAAAGCCCAATGGAAATCAAAAATCAAAAGGCTATTGGTTTTCGACCACATCAGCATGCTTTAATATATATGTGCTACGTTTTCAAAAGCTGATCAACTTTTCTACATCTACAGTGACTCATTTTAACTTTGCTCAAGAGTTGAGCTAGGGGAGGGCTGAAACTCTGCTGCGAGCTGCTCCTGCAAAACATTGCAGGAGCATCCTCAAGGCTCCCGCGGTCATTGCAGGAGCAGGCCTCATGGTTCCCACGGTCATTACAGGAGCAGGCCTCAAGACTTCCGCGGTCATTGCAGGAGCAGGCCTCATCGCTCCCACGGTCATTGCAGGAGCAGACCTCAAGGCTCCCGCGGTCACTGCAGGAGCAGGCCTCATGGCTCCCACGGTCATTGCAGGAGCAGGCCTCAAGGCTCCCACGGTCATTGCAGGAGCAGGCCTCATGGCTCCCTGGGTCATTGCAGGAGCAGGCATCAGCGCTCCCACGGTCATAGTCCCACTGGTCAAACAAATCCAATGTACTGTAGCCTGATCAAGATTTGTGTGGGGCGATGTCTGCTTGGCTATTCCAGCACATCCAAGAATTTGCAAAAAAATTGTCAAAGCCTTCAAAAGCTGCAACAGCAAAAAGGTACAACACAGAAACGAAGCTAACTACTTCCGTCGGTAGATATTTGCATGAACTGCCTGTTTCCAAAAGCTCGAAATTTCACGACCACATTCCCATCCCATGCTTTATCTCCGTCTTGCGCAGAACGCCATCAGAGCCGGCTGGAAAAACAAACACAACAGCCCGGCGGCGGCCGCCGCGCTATGCTCTCCGTACTGTTACCTTGAAGCCTGCTGGAAGAACAGCAGCGCCGTCTGATGCTCCTGCTGACTCTCCAGCGCGTGCCCTACGTTGTTGTAGAGCTTCGCGTTGTTGCGGTTCACGCGCAAGCCGGCCATGAAGATGCTGTACTCGCTGCGCCAGTCCTGGTTGCGATGGTAAGTCTTGATGCCGTGGAGAAGCAAGAGAGAGGCCATGCCGGCGTACAGGAGCCTTCGACACCGCCTGTGGCCGGGTGTATCTAATCAGCGGCTTTGTGCAGGCCTCCAACAATCACCTCTCAGAGTACGTTCAGGGATGGGTGGAGATGTTCAGAGCACGCTCAGGGATGGGTGGAGGTGGTTAGAGTGTGTTCAGGGATGGGTGGTGATGTTCAGAGTGCGCTCAGGGATGGGTGGAGGTCTTCAGAGTGCGCTCAGGGATGGGTGGAGATATTCAGAGTGCGCTCAGGGATGGATGATGATGCTCAGAGTACGCTCAGGGATGGGTGGAGGTGCTCAGAGTGCGCTCAGGAATGAGTGGGGGTGTTCAGAGTGCGCCCAGGGATGGGTGGAGGTGTTCACAGTACGCTCAGGGAGGGGTGGAGGTGTCAGAGTACGCTTCAGGGATGGGTGGGAGGTGTTCAGAGTGCAGCCCAGGGATGGGTGGAGGTGTTCAGAGTAACGCTCAGAGGATGGGTTGAAGGTGTTCAGAGCACGCTCAGGTATTGGGTGGAGGTGTTCAGAGCACGCCCAGGTATGGGGTGGAGATGTTCAGAGATGGGTGGAGGTGTTCGGAGTACGCTCAGGCGATGAGTTGAGATATTCAGAGTACGCTCAGGGATGGGTGGAGGTGTTTGGAGTATGCTCAGGGATGAGTGGAGATGTTTCATGAGGGTGCGCTCCAGGGATGGGTGGAGGTCTTCAAGTGCGCTCATGGATGGGTGGAGAGATTCAGATTGCGCTCAGGGATGGGTGGTTGATGTGTCAGAGTGCGCTCACGGGATGGTGGAGATGTTCAGTGTGCGCTCAGGGATGGGTGGAGTGTCGGTCTCATGGACGAAAGGTATTGCTCAAAGCTCAACGCTTGGTTGCGTTCGGTTCTCCACGATCCAAAACTTCATGGATGGAGACACTAATGACACATGGTAGTTTCAGAGCGTCATAAAGTAATGCAGCCGCTCTTGGTTTCAACCGCCCAAAAATTCGAAAATACCGAACACCATCGCTCGAGTTGCTTCTCGAAATCACTGTCAACCACAGCGTCTGAGTATTTTGAGTAACCGGTTTTGCAGACCAGTGTAAGTTTTCTGCGCGCCTGAGTTGATTTTCCGTCCATGACAGCCGATTAATGAAGCGCCTGCCGCACGCATCGTTTTTCAATCTCAAAGTAGACTGAGATGCTTCCAGAAATTTGCCTGCTGCTGAGCGGAAAATAAGCATAACCGAAACTCAAGCGGCAGCTTCTGCAGAATGAGACGTCGTCTCGCAAATCTAAAGGGACGCGAGAGTGGTTTTGCAAGACGTCTCAGAGAACAGAAGGCTGGCCGGCGCTTTCACGTGAGTGAATGGTCCCAACCTTCCCCAGACCTAAGACCACCAGGTTTCTTCCCGAAGGGGAAGATGACGGAAAGCGTCACAAAAGCGTGCCAAGAGCACTGACGTGAGGACAGCAATCCCAAACGACTATGATTTCCACCGGCGCTAAGTAAGCGCGCTCCCGACCGCCCATCTCGTGGTCTAATGCCGCTTACTGCGCATCGATTGTCACCATTCTGTTCGGCATTGTACGTAAACGAATAATAAATTACAACGTCCAAACTCACACGGCATGGAAAAACAACGAGGCCAAATGAAGTAAATAGATCTAACTGGCGAGCAATTCGTTTTTATGTCAGGTGGATAACTGCCAATAATCACCTGTCGATTTCCTGTGTGTGTACCAACTACACAAGCCAGATTGGGGAGGACACTTCTTGGTGTGATTTTGAAGGCATCCACATATATAAGTTTTCAAAAGCCTGAGCAGAGTCATGCAGAGTCACTAATGCTTCCATAGATCCCAGTTCTCATAATTTCACGAGTTTGCTATCCGCGGTTTTGGAAGAGCGACACTTAAATATCGCGTGCTTAATGGCGTCTCGCTCGCGCTACCGTGCTGGAGATAAAAAGCAGTACAAACTGGCGGTAAAAACCCACTGTAATTGAAACGGGCCCTATTAAAACAGCCATTTTAAGCTATCTGAAGTATGGCTTAAGCGTAGCCATTCCGCGCAAGGCATGCACGATATTATCATGCCAGCAATGTGCACACCGCATGTTGCATCACTATTTGTACTCTAGATATTGTGCATGCGACGGAAAATGTGCAGTGTTCTCTTATGCTCAAGAGGCGAATAGGAGTTATTGTAAAGGCGAAATATGATATGAACTACCACAGACTCATCTTGTGAAACCATTTCCGAATCCGTCAAAAAGTACTGTCACTCCCGGAATATTTAAAAGGGATAAATTGAGGTATGCTATGAGCTAACCAGGCTTTTTATGTTATTGTAATCCACTTCTGCTTTGGTGTCATTTCGAATAATTAAATCGCAAAAGTAATGCTCTCAAAACCTACTCGTTTCTGAACCCTACCGACCGCAGTGTTTACCGTGCCCATGGTGTCCGGGACAGTTGTAAGCGTATATAACCCCACATGCTGCCAAAAACCAGCGTTTGAAGCTTTTGGTTGGAACCAGTGCCTTTGAATATAATTTAATGGCCTAAACAGCTAATGCATGACCACTGGATGTCCACAAACGGCATTTGGTGTGCGACAAATTGTAGCCGAGACCACAGAGCTTCACAACACCATAAAGATTTTGAGGCCGCCGAGATAAGTAAATTGCCGCAGCAGAATTGCACCGGCTGCGGTCGGCAGTTCCTCACTCCGTCCTACCAACCAGTCGCAGCGGCCGGCCGTGTCGTACACCGCCGGACCAGCCGGCGACACCGAGGCTCGCGGGCCGTGTCGTACACCGCAAGACCAGCCGGCGTCACCGAGGCTTGCGGGCCGTGTCGTACACCGCCGGACCAGCCGGCGACACGGAGGCTGGCCGGCCGTGTCGTACATCGCTGGACCGGCCGGCGTCACCGAGACTGGCCGGCCGTGTCGTACGCCGCCGGATTAGCCGGCGTCGCCGAGGCCGGTCGGCCGTGTCGTACAACGCCTAATAAGCCGGGGGTCACCGAGGCTGGCCGGCCGTGTCATACACCTCCAGACCATCCGGCGTTACCGAGGCCGGCCGGCCGTGTCGTACACCGCCAGACCAGCTGGCGTCACCGAAGCACGAGATGGTACAACCAGACCAGATGGTACAACAGCGGCACGAGCGAAACTGAACGACGCGACACCGTCGTCACCGATTGGTCGGATGCGGCAGCGGAGCTGACCTCGGCCGGCGCAGCGTACCGCCGCCGGCTGGTCGTCACGGCACCGGCCACATTCGCCCGAAAAGCCGCTGCCAGAGACAAGAGCGGCGGTAATTAATACTGGCCGTAAATTCGGGTCGCTCCGCCGCCCCACCGGAGTTTGTTACTTGGAGGCTATTCGCGGAAACCGCCGTCTACGCCGCAGATGAAATGTCAATGTAAATATCTGCTCGTTAGTCTGATGGCCGTCCGGGGCGCTGGCCCGGTTATGAGGTCTGGTGGGTCGGCACGACAGATGGCGCACGCTCCATCATTGTGCCGCCGGGTCGCGTGTAACGCCGGCCCGGACCCGCAGCTGGTGACGGAGGCCAACCGACCCGCCGCTCTGCTCCCGGCCACTCAATTGGCCGCGATTTGCCTCCTTTTGTTCGATGGAACCACTATGACGCAACCGTTCTTTGCTGCCTGCACGATGCTTGTGCGGTGTCGACCGGCATGGGTTTTATGAGTGAACGTTGAAGTGACGCACATGTTCAAATCGTTAGTTCCTGAAACTCGATTATAAGACGGTAGGTAATAGAAATACCAGCTTTATTCCTAGTAGAAAACCATGGCAATGGAGATATAAATGCGTTGATATCTCGGGAACATACCTTCAACGAAACGAGTGTCAGTAGTAAATAAAATAGAATAGCAAAAAGTTACTGCTCTTGGCATGTTGCCAAGATGTAAAAGCAGGTCTATAAAGGCATGTTGCCGATTGCCGTCTTATCTATATGCATCATGTTCCTCGCAAATGCACTTCACAACTGACGTAATTTTGAAACCTGGTCATTGTGGACTGTCAGTTGTAAAATACCCCGAGCTTAACACTTCACAAGCACTGCTTGAAATAGCCCCTTTGCCCAAAATGAAATGGACTCTCGTGCGGGACATTTCTGTTTTACTGACTGACGCCGTTTCAGGAACAAATATTCCCACCTCGTCCTAGTCTCTTCGTGCAAGCACCGGAATATGTCAATTTTCATTCGCAAGTTATCAAAGCTATATTATTACATGCAATACTTTCAATGCATTGGCGTTAATTATGTACCAAAGATATTGCAAATGTTGAGAAAGATAAGATTCGGATCACATGCTATATCAAAAACATGAAACGGAGGCTATACCAAATAACGGCGATGGACCAGCTCAAAAATAGCCCTTCTGCTTTTGGGAAGCGGGAAGGGAATCAGACCGGACACAGTCAGGCAAGGTAACCTGGGTTAACTTTATTTTGCATCGATAAGCGGTAACTTGACCTGCGCCATCCTTGCCTCCCGGAACTTCTCTGGCTGACAGAGTAATGAAATGGTACCCGACCACACGAAGCATCCATGGGGAGAGGTGATTCATAAGACATGGCGGTGGACCCCATATTTCCAGTATGGGCATCTTAACTGCCTTTCATTTCAGCACCAAACACCATGGAAGACAATCAACGAGTCGCACGTCGGCTGACAGACTTTTGTTCTTGCAAACAGGCGGCAGTAGGTTTGGGCGAAGTGAAATGGGGTCGCTGCATGACATTTCCGGACGATCTAACCCCCGACCGCGGCGGAAGAGGAGCGCAGATTTCCCGCGGGAGTGCTGCGTTCGGCGCCGGCTGAAATGGAGCCTGGTCCAGCCGGCGAGCGTGGCTGTGGCAGCGGCATGGCACCGTCGGCAGACCCGCCGACCCCGGCCGGGTCAAGGTCGCGCTGGCGACACCGGGCACGCTTACCACTGACGCTGAGCCTGGCAGAAGCCGACGGCGACCAGCAGGCAGAAGCCCATGGAGGGCATGTAGAGCACACGCTCCGCCACCACGAACCCCACCGGAAAGAACAGGTTGCTGGCCGGCAGGTACGGCATCACCAGCAGCGAGACGGCCTGCAAACAGGGAGGCTCAGCGGTGTGACAGGCAAGACACAGAGACGAGAGACAGGGGAGGCTCAGCGGTGGCGGAGACCAGATGAGGCCGCCTGAGACAGGGTAGGCTCGAGGTTTGGCGACAGAGCAGAAAGGCGACAGAAGATGCGGGCGGCGCGCAGTTTGCTTACATTGGACCACCACATGTGTGGCATCCCACCAACAACATTGTCGTCGAGCCCACCGCAGGGGTCAGGTTGTCCATTGGCGAAGTACCTTGCCTATTCATCCTCCAAGTGTGGAAACTGTAGTGACACTTGAAGAGACTGTAATGACGCACTTGTAGAAATTGTAGACACACTTGTAGAAATTGTAGTGACGCACTTGTCCATGACGTTATAAGTTGCAACGTCATAGGTATGGACGGCGCCTGGCAACGCAGAGCGCGGTCAAGATGTAGGTGTCTCCATTTATAGCAGCACCGGTCCCACAGGCGGGAATCATCACCTGTGCGGTACACGCCTGCAATGCAGCACATGTCCGCCCACACGTCCCGTGCGGAAGCGGCGCCAGAACAGGCCTGCCTCCGCCGCACGTGGCGCAGCTCACCATGAGCACGGCGTCTGATCGACGGTGGCGCGAGCTGAGCGCCGTCCGGAGCAGACGGCCGAGCGCGGCCAGCAACCAGCGCCGTCAGGTTGCGCGGGTCGCCGACAGATGTCACCAGCGGCACGGTGCCCATGGTCCAGTCGCAGCAGAGGCCGTGCGGCAGCAGCAGCAGGCCGCCGTTGACGCCCACCAGGTACGTGTAGGTGAGCTGGCGAGCCGGCCAGTCGGCCGCCGCCGCCGGGTTGTCGAACCTGGCCACAGAACACGCCGCTGCAGGGGCGCCTGCTGGGCTGGCTGGGGAGTGGGTGGTGTGCAGGCCGGCAGCAGTCTTGCTTCCGGATATATTGAGATCATGCCACGCCTATGCAAACATCCGACCACCTTATCCTCTTCCTCGCTTTATCATTTATTACACTGTTATCACTATTATCACACTACTATACCATTATACTAATCGCTATTATACACACTATTATCCATTATTATCCTACTAGCCTCGAACCTCGCGACGCCCCCTTTAGCCAGGCAGGCTGCATGCGTCAGCTACAAGCGGGTCGAGAGGCCCCCTCGGGTGGGACATCGACCGGGTGCCCAACGTAAGCCCCACAGTAGGTTCCTGCGCCGGGTTAAGGCTCGGAGGTTCGCCCCCTGCCAGGTGCGTGTAGTCCTGCCTCACCGTTATCCATTCTCCTTCATCCCATAGTCATGAAATGATCATTTCTGGTCGAAAGGACTCTATTCCATGCACCAATAACCAAGCTAACCTATCCAAAACTGGCGAATGTGCAAAGCAGCCGTTCGCATGGTGCAAATATGCGTAATGACTCAATCGGTCCCAGGCGAGAAGTTCGGGTTCGACTCCCGGATACAGCTG